GTGTGTTACGCCAAGTACTCAATCCGAATAATTCATCCCAAGTACTTTCCATCCGGGAACTAATTCAGGCCAAGTACTTCATCGATGAAGATTCATATCCAAAAAACAAACTTCAGTCCGGAAGTAATCATACCAAGTACTTCAACGAAATCCGGGAATAGTTTATCCAATACGTTAATCCGAAGTAAGTTGGCATCTAATACTTCATCCAATATCGTTATTCCGAGTACTCATACTGAAGTCAAGGTCATCCGATAAGTCATCCAATCCGTTAACCATAATTCATCCAAGTACTTCAAGTCCGGAATGTAAATTCATCAATTACTCATTTGAACAAGTCATCCAGTACTTACCGAAAAGTTTATCGAATGTCATCCGTTCTTCAATAAATACATTGTATCCGTAATTACTGCCATTTCGTCCCAGTTTCTCAGCCTTTTTCTTCAGTCCCTCTCAAAAAATTCATGAGTTGCAACGAATCAAATCCACCTCTCCCTGCCGGATTATAGGTGTACTAGCGGGGTATCACAGTGGTAATGGTTAATCCAACTTATAAAATGATAAGACATAGAAAAAAATAAATCCCATTTCTTTCTCATATAAGACCTATAAGAAAAGGAACCGCCGTTCTCTCTCACCCGAAATCGTGCATGTCTGTATCGGGAGCAAACCGTCGTATTTAAACGTAAATTCTGCGTTACGACTACCTGGTGCAATGGCATACATATACTATATATACTGTTAACAGACCTAACGGCGCGTACAGATGCCGATATTCAACTCTCAAAGGACACCCAAAGCATCCCCTAAAATGCCACACGCCGCCACACTGAGCACTGAGCGTTCAATAAATAATGCTAAATAAAATAAATCTATTTACTACCGTAAAGCTTAATTTTCATACCTCTTTCACGTATATGCCGGACAATTTCCCCATGCCGATATATTAATTCAGGGTGTAACGGCCAGCCATCGCCAGCCAGCGGATTTGCAAGACAATGACTGCATTACAGGAAAATGTCCGGCAATAAAAGGTGAAAGAAGAGTACAGAAACATAAGACTTGGGTAGACAATAGATTCGTATCTTAGCATTATAGTTTTATTGAAACTCCAAGGCCTGGGCGGGCCCAGCTACACTCTGTCCGCACTCTATTCCGCCCCGGACCTCAAAAATCCTATATGCATACCGTTAATAGCTAATAATATGTTCTATATCCAAGGCGATACATCTATATATATCTACTATACACAGGCCGATAATGCATATATCGCTATATTGCACAGTGCATATAGCTATATATGTCCTATATCACAGGCGATAAACTGCATATAGTCTCTATAGCACGCAGGCGATTATATGCTATAATTAATTCTCATATGCACACTCAAATACTATAGTTCATATGCACAACTCGATATACATAATTCTCTATACACAACGCGATATACGCCTATATAAATTCTCTAAGCAACGCGATAATAGCTATATATCTCTATAACACAGCGCGATATACTATAATTCGCTATATGCACATCTCGATATATGCCTATATCTCTATACTGCACAGTTCTCGCATATATGCTATATTGCTCTAATATTCCACAAGTCTGGCATAAATATTCTATATGTTCCTTATAGCACACGACGAAATCATATATGTCTCTGATACATACACAGCGGCGGCGAATTATGAGCATATGTGCTGCGGTTCCGACTATACACCGCCCTAGCTGGTACGGACTACTAGCTGTGCAAGTTCGGCTAAAAGCGTCACTAACAGATATCACGAGATTCGAGGCTAACATACTAATAAATATATAGACTGTACCCCAGTCGAACATTCCACAGGGGGGGCAGGCACACTAACGCGTGCAGCGAACGGGGTAGCATCTAGTTAGCTGGCGCAAAAAAAAGACGAATAGAATGAAAATTATATCTTATCTATCGATACGCGTTCACACACAAACAATACCCGCCACTGGTGCCAAATTCCACGACTATTAGCGCGAATATACTCCGCGCTACAGCAACGCCGGACAATCGTGTAGCTAAGCAAGCCGGGCTAACAAGCAGCCGTGAATATTTACGCTGATAACGTTAAGAATCACCCGGCAACTAAAAATACCTCAAGTGTAAGCAGCTATTACCTACATCACGCGCGATTACGCTATAAGATTAAAAACGGCAAAGCGCAGAGACATATCCCTATAATACTTCTATAATCCTAATACTACTTCTGAGCACAATAGTCCAATATCAAGCGCGATAAATAACTATAAATTCATAATAACATAGCTCGAACTGGCCAATCGAGATCTTCATATTTACATGCCAGACCACCCCCCCGTAGCCTATGTCCTCGGACCACCCCCACCGCTACCGGAACACCATAAGAACAACAATTCGACCTCATATCCGGACTAATGCTACTAAAGTACTTAAGATGCTAAAACCCGGTATACTGACAAACAGGTGTCCTTTTCTTGAATATCGGTCCCGCGCTCAATCGCGCTGCGCATACCTATCTCTCACCTCCCTACCACACTACACCCCACACACCCCACACTCTCCCCCTCTTCCCCACTCGCTAATCACCCAGAACGCACTTCCCCACCACCTCCCACCCCCACCCCCCCCCACCCCCCCCTCCCCCACCCCCCCCGCCACACTCTATACCCCGCACACCCCCACCAAAAAGCGCACCCCTCTCACCATCCGACTAATTGAACCCACAACCAAAACATACCACGCGAATAAACGCCTCCTCCCCACTCGCTCCTGATACATTAAACACAAGACACCTCTACACATGATACTCCTCCCTCTAACTCACACTACCTCTAACCCACAACTCGCACCTCCGCACACCCCCACACACCGCCCTTAGGCACGCCCACTCGCCACAATCTCACCCCTAACACACCTCTCAATACCACTGTGCCTCAACCACCCGCACTTCACCGCTCCTCCTCTCACCCGCACCACCCCCCCTTTCACTCAGTCGGAATTATCCAACTCTAAATCTCCACCTCCACTACTCATCGCCCCCCACCAACCCCCCCCCCCCCCGAGCAATCACCCTACAACGGCCGCATCATCACCACCCCCCCACACCACACGACACTTCCCTCCCCACACAGCCCCCCCCCCCCCCCCCCCCCCCCCCCCCCACCCCCCCCCCCACCCCCAACCCCCCCCCTCCCCCCACACCACCCCCCTCCAGCGCGCTGTCCGTCCTATTTCACAAACGCAAACACACTCCCCACCCGTGCGCCACATACTGACGCACACAACGCCACTCAACGGCACGCACCGCACGGCACACCACTTTCACGCACGTACACACCACCAACGCACACACGGCTTCAGCTAAGGCACACACCACACAACGCACCACACACACACACATCACCCCCCACACCCCCACACACCGCACACCCACCCACACACACCCACACGCAAGGTCACTAACCCCTCCGCCCACAGCGCATCGCACGCACTCAACGCACGCACACAGCACCCAGGCACTTTACACCACCTATCCATGAACGCTGAATCCCCCAGATCATCATTTCGGCTGTTTCATGTAAATACTCCTCGTATGTAACGACGCTCGGCAAAAGACCGTGCGAGCGTGTATGCGCCCCACGTCAGCGGCTGTCGCCACACATACACATCTCAACGTACGACGCGACGCCACTCCCTATCCCGCGGGCGCCGCGCCAACGCGTCTCACGCGGCGAACGCTGCAAAGTCCGTCACTCCTGTTTGTTGTGACACCGAATCACTCGCCTAGGATCGCCATCTACGCCCCTGCTGCCCTGCTGCTAGTATAAATAGCGAGCAGAAGTTTTCTGTCCGCTACACAACGCGTCCTTTGGCCACAATAAGCGTCTCGCGCGTGCGCGCGCGCTGAGCAGAGCAGCGCAGAAGGACCGCTGCTTCGGCTACGTAATCGCCGTGCAAGCCGATCGCGTACTGAATACAATTTTTTGTGCGCCGCGCGCTCTCGACGTGGGGCGTCGGTCTAGCTTCTAATCCACTGTCGCGTACCCTCGCGTGTGTGTCGGGGTATCCAGCAAGCGCAAGCGCTACCGGGACAGCGAAGAGTGATCGCTGGCAAACGGTACTACTGCTATAACCGTCTATCCGCGGAGTCGAGGAGTGATGAGAAGAGTGAGTGAGTGAGCTGAAGTGAAGTGAGATGAGGAGT